GCCCTCCAAATGTGTTGGACTATAATTTCCATCATGCCCAACCAGCATGGCCAATGGAAGTTGTAGTCCAACTCATCTGGACAGTACCAATTTTGGCAAGGTTGCACTAAAATATGGTAGTCATTAGCTCTGCATCCAAATACATCCATTGTGTTTTGCGGGAATTGTTCTGGGCTGACTTGCTTCAAATACTAAGAGTGGCATTAACAGTATTTATCCTTAGTATTTTTGCTTCATTCTTTGTAAATGCCTGTTGCAGTCTTCAGCTGCATTATGCAAAATACTAGATTTAGTGCCTTGGTTGTGTTGTAGCTATGTCCCTTGAATATGGACATGCTCTTCCCCAACTCATCTGGGGTTTACAGTCAGAGGGAATTTAATGCAGACATATCCTCATGGCCAACATGTGTATTGTGCTTTAATTTGTGGCAGCTTTTAAAACAGGGGGGAACCATTGTTTCCTAGGCTGAATGAAAACTCGGGGTTCATGCATGATTTATATAGGAAAGCCCAACATCCAAGCAGTGATTGTGGCCTACATTGAGTAGCCCTTTCTCTAACACCCACACATTGGGAGCGTATGTAAGATGGGGCTTTTGCACATACAGATTTAAGTACGACGGTTTCCATGTGAGCCCATGCTCCAATAGCTGGTGTGAAGTCCTCTGCATGTACAATGATCCTCTCATTACAGGTTTTGTGCTATATACATGGACCTTACAGGAGAGGCATCATAATGTGCATTACATCAGTGTGTTAGGAAAGGGGCTACGTGATGTGTGGATGAAGTACTCAGCATGGCACTGCTGGCATGGTGAATATGTATGGTCCTTATATTAGTAACACAAAAATAAAGCTCAGATCATGTGAAGAGCTGAGAAGTACCTTTGCTGAAGACAGTTGCCCTGTACACATGGTGACAAGGTCAGCAACAGAAAGGTAGAGCTAGTACGTTTGTTCTTGACATATATATATTAAGAACACCTAAGAGGGCCTATGAAGTTGGGCAATATCCTACTTATTTCTAGGCTAGTTCTTCCATCTGGAACTGTGCTACTTCAGGAAGTATCATTTTCTCCTTGTAGTAATGTAGCTGTCAGAGATGATGCATCTGTCTGTGTATGGCAGAATAACTCTGGCTAATTTTGTTGTTTATGATGCTACTGAGGAATTATGGATCTGGTTATCTGAGAAAAAGTTGGGCTTTCGGATTACTTTAAAAAGCTAACATTTCATATCAGAAATGGTGGTTGTAATACTTCACAGGTATTGGTTCTGAATTCCTGGCTAGCTGCCAGCATAACACAAAATATGATTATGTTTTTCCAAGAATTCAAGTTGCCCTATAGAGCAAGCTTTTGGCTTTCAATTATGGATTGAAATTAAACAAATAAGAGTATATGAAAAAATAGGCCTTAACAGCCAATTCCAGATATTAATGTGTGCTTAATAATCTTTTATTTGGTACCCATGACTATAGCAGCCATTAGTTTGAAGTGCTGGATTTATTTAAGAAAATGTCATAATTAAACATGGACATCTGAAAAATGAGTCATATTTATCTCTTCGTTTTACAAACAGGCAATTAATTGGTTGAAATTATAGTTGGCTCCAGCATCATGGCTTATTTATAGCATAAACGAGGATTTATTACTTTACTTTGCTTCCTGGAACAGAGCACTGGCCAAGTATTCTGTATTAGGTTTGTCTGCTTATCATAGCTAGTTTGTAAATGATGAACAACAGCGCAATACCAAGAACTGTAGGTTATATTTTATTATATTTTAGATTTATAACACCCTTTGTCCGTATAAAGTGTTAGGACTGCAACACCCTTTTAGAACAAACCTAACTCCCCCCCTCCACACACACACACATATGCACACACTCAGAATAACACAGCCAGACTGCAAGAATGTTTACATACAGTTTGATGATTTGTGCAAAAGTGTGCTGTACAGTTGCACAAAAATGTACTTTACAATGCAAAATCAGTTTGCACGGTGTCCTGGCACACCACAGTAATGTTCCTCTGTTGGGGAGACAGCTCCATGCAGTTGCTCTTGTGATATTGCCATGGAAAATAGTGGCGAATGTGTCACAGCCTCCTATTGCAGACCTTTCTAACAAACCCCAAAGGTCTGAGCATGAGCTGTAGTTCCTTGCACTCAGGTTGGAGACATGCCTTGTTGTTTGTGGCAGACAGGTCCATAAAGGTGGCCATCATACAGTATCAGGGGATTCCAGGCCCTACCATGAACCTTGACTATTAATTGTCCATGTATAATGAATTTCAGATTGTTTCAAGTTCTACATGCTCATATGAAGAATTTTGCATTGGCTGGTTTTACTATTTATTTATTTATACTACTTTATTTATTTATACCACACTTCATCCCTTTGGATTTTTAAACATCTTTCCTATTCTGATGTGCCTTGGTAACATAAGGGGTTTTGTCTGGCAATGGAAAGGTTGCAAAGTTGGCTGTGGAACATCTAAGTGGTTCCTCTCCTTTTACTGATCAAATCACTTCACTGGCTTTCTCTGGCCGTGCACAAAATCTCTTCTGCAAGGTGTTTTTAGTTTTTACTACCAGTATTGTAGTTTTTGGCTTGCTGCCACCTTTGCTGTATCCTTGTTTCACTCTCACAAGCGTACCTCCCCAACCCTTTGCCTGACCTCCCTCCTGCTCTGCCTTCCTCTGTACCTTGTAGTCTTTCTTTGGATTTGTACTCATAGAAAACATAGAAGCATAGAAATATAGCAAGTCAGAAGGGGCCTCCCAGGCCATCTAGTCTGAGCCCCCCGGCTCCAGCCACCTCCGTTCATGACATGCCTACCATGTGCATGTCCAGCCAAGCTTTTGGGTACTTCTCCTGAAATTACCATATAACGTCCTAGCACTTTGAACTACCCTTCTCTCCAGCTTGCTCTCCTAACTGATGAGCCTTGAGTCAGTGCCTAGAGTCTGTTTTCCATGCTGACAGCAGGATGCTAGGAGCTGTAGTCCAACAGGTAAGCACTCGGTTGGACTAAGGTTGTCTCAGAGGAGTGAAGCTTTCAATTGTGTGAAAGTTCCCTGCCTAAATGGTGTAAGGTTATAATGTCACCTTTACTGTGCTGACAATGTGAACAAGAATTATGGTGCAGTATATTTTTATTTCCTTCCAGCTTATAATGTCTCATTATCATTTTACTTCCATCTAGCATGTTAAATAAGTGAAAATTAATTTGTGCTTAATACAGTCCCCCCCACCCCATAATGTCACACTACCAGTCCACTGCAGCTTCTTGAACACCGTGAAAAAGGGTATTGGGCCTGACTTGCTCTGGAAAACAGCGGGTTGGATCCAGAGCAGTTGCAGTTGGGCTGGTGGAAATTAATATCTGCCCTTTCCTCCTGTACAGCATGTGCTCCAGCCCCCTCCAAACACCACACAAGGGGGCAGGATTCCTCAAAACTGGACAGGGACACCTCCCATGAGGCACCTCAGTCGCTGGAAGGCAGGTCCTGGTCAAACCCAACATGTCCATGAGCAATTTCATTACCCCAAAACTATATAATTTGTGAAATATGCAGGCTGTGCCTATGTTCCCATGGCGTACACATGTGTGTGTTTGTTACTGTTTTTGTTCTTGTGGATTTGGTGGTTGGGTGAGCCATGCCTGGTGGTCATAGAAAACCAGGATTTAGCAACATGTCAGCAAGATCTTAGATTTGTTTCTGTCAGGCCTTATATAAAGATACTTTGCTTTGAAGGGCAGCACTGGGTGGTTGAAGCTCTAAACATCCTTACTACAAAGAAGCCCAAAGGGCAGAATTGGGACTTCTGAGTAAATATGTATAATTAAGTACATGTGTGCTTAATTCTATGCTGTATCATTTGTAGCAGGCTACAAATGCGTCATTGTGCCCCCCCACACACACACAAACGGACACGGACACACACAGAAGAGAGGAAGTGATGAAAAACATATAGCAAATAAGCAAATAGAAGCTATATATGTAGCATCTAGCAAATAGAGCATAAGCCAATGCAGTTTTGAGAATACCCATATAGCCCTCCAAATATATTTTAATTTTTTCCCGTTTAAATTACAATAAATAGGATCCAGATTTAAGGTGGATCAACTATAATGGCAGAATAGGCTTCATCGCTTCTTCCTCATGGGAACTCCTTTAATTCCCTGAAACTGCCACCTCATGAGCTAATTCTATGTAGCAAGAAGCCACCGTGGGTAAATTTCCCCATGGGCTTCTTGTTCAAACACTGCTGAGGCTGTGTGTACCGTTGTCGTTGTGTGCAGTCCTTGTGAGTCTGTGTTGGTTTGGGGGCTGTTTTACAAGCCACCAGTAAAGCTAAAACGTGGACATGGATTCTGCATGCTATATTAACCACCAAAGAACCCACCTTCACTACAGTCACACATAACACCGTGTCTTCTTGTAGTAGGTATTTTGAAGATGCAAAACATGTGGCCCCACAAGGAAGTTGTAGAAGAGGAGTCCTGTGAATGCCTAGTTATTCTGGCCTGTTGTGTCAGGCTAGTATGTGCAAACCAGGTCAGAGAGTCAAGAGACCTTGCTGAATGGTTTGAACGTCCGTGTGGAAGTAGGACATACACGCATTGGAGGCCCTTCCACAAGTAGAACCCTCCCTCTTGTGGAAGTCCGAACCTAGATCCAATGCTCAAACTTTTTTCCTTTCAAAAAATCTCACTTTAGCAAGGCCAGGAATTTAAAGATCTATATATTAATTTTCTGGGTTTTTTAACCCACGAATTATGTTGCAAGGTTTAAAGTCACGTGGCAGAATTAGCTTATCTTGTCTGTGCGTCGCACGTGCTGCAGAAAACATTTGTTTAATGTTTCAGCATAGTAGACAACCAGTTATTTATTAGAATAATTTAAAGGAACAACCAATATTTTATGCCATAGAGCTCAGTAAGATTAAGAAAGGTTCAAAGCCCAGCACTTTGTATTCTGCTAATACTGGGTAATTCTTACTGGCACGTGTCTGACTTGAAACAATGTAATGTATTTATATCAGCATTTGTGTTAGCGAATTTAAAAGAGGCATTACAGCAAGAAAATGTAATTTAAATGTTAAACGGTGCTGCTTGTGCCGCATCAAATTATTATGCCTGCCTTGTAGTAACCCCTCCCCTTCTTCAGGGTGTTGTGAAATGATTTATAATTGCATTTATATTTCAGATCTTTTATTGAAGCATCATTGCTATCTGGTGACTGTCTACTGATATATAACTTATGGTTGGCAATTAAAATGTACCATGCATGTAATTGTAGGGGAATGTTTTATTATTTCAGCAGGGTAACAATGTTCTGGCTTCAGAGCTGGACGCTGCAGCTGGCAAAATGCTCAAGACCACCACTGCGACGGCTGTTGTGTGATGCTAGGACCAATTTACCTGTGTTAATGTTGTTCACCAAGGTAATTACTAGTGTCTTGAGTAAACCAGACAGAAGATTCTCAAATGCAGATGTATTTGTAATCCACAGATAGTACAAAACCTTTTCTTGAACCAGTTCAAGTCTGCAGGAGCATGTGAGATCCTGACAAAGAACAATAGGCATCGGTCACAAAGTGGTCATCATTTGGGAAGTCTCAAGTGATAGAAGGGTGACCAATGGGGTTAAGTTACAAAATTGCCTCCATTTGGGTCCTCTCTGAACACATGAAATTATCTTACGCTGTGTCAGACCAGTTGGGTCATCTTGCTCCGTGGCATTCAAATGCTGTTCCCCAGAGCCCTCGTGCTCCATGAGAATCATCCAAGGGTTTACTCATTGCAATTCTAAGAATTTTATTCCTTTGTTTCATTTAAAAGAGAGAAGTCTGTGTCAAGGTAAGTTCTTCATTTTAATACAGAGCTTTAAACACATACCTTTAAAAGCGGGTTAATTCATCTTAAAGCCAAAGTGGTTTCATTTGAGTGGATTCAGATTGAAAGGAATAGCGATCACACAGCTTAACAGAGGAATAAAATAGATGTAGAATCAGAAAAAGTCCCTGCAACTGTCATCAGTAACACTAGATTTTGATTTTCTTTGTGACAAAAAAACTCCCAAGCACACCCAAGTCATTAAAATGAGATATACTTGTTTGTGTTATTTGTTAGTGATGTTATACTAAATTTAGTATGTATTCAATAAATATATATGATTTAGTTCTTTAATGCATTCATAAATAATGCATTGTATGAAATGCATTATTGCAGCATTAATTGTAAAATTTTGTTCAAATAAAGTATATTGCATCAAACATATTAATGGGTTCCACATTGATTTTTCACATTGAGAAAGGTTCCTTGGGTTTCTCAAGTCTGAAGACCACAGATCTCACTAAATAATATTAATCCTGATTGGCTGCATGTCTCCAGGGTTACAAGCAGAGTCTATCTCATTTCCTGCTTGTTAATCCTTGTAACCGGAGGTACCAGAGACTGAACGTCCTGTATGAAAGCAGAGGCTCTATGGCATTGAGCGACCACTCTCATGGAAATGGAGCTTGTGCTTTTGACTTCATGCTATAAGTCACCACCAAATGTGATTGATTAGAAGGACTAGCAGATGTAACCTTCACCTGTCCTTTTTCTTTGGGAAAAAAATGGATTTATGCTATTAGTCATCATCACAGATGAGCAAGCCTGTAGCTGATTATACATTATGTGAAGTCGCATCTCCTTTGTCTGATCACTGCCTAACGGTTTCAGTGGATGACCCCATGGACTGGTAACATAGAGTCCACATAGAGTCCCCTCAGTTCAGTTCATCCACAAAACAAATGCTTCTGTCAAAATAGAAAGAAAAAATTGGGGATAAAGAGGGAAGGAAGCAGTCGACACAAAGTGTAATCAGTCCCATAGAATGAATGGTGAATTTGGGTCCCAGAATATTTCATTTCACTAATGTGATCCAATTAAGCCACGTCAAAGCATTATCAGGCATATTGTTCAAAATCATTCCTCCTATAAGGGGACATTACAGCTGAAGGTCTGTCTGAGCCAGCTGCCTGTGCAGTTTATAATCCAGAAAGCAATGAGGTGGTGAATAACAGGATTACTTTTAGAGGTTAATAATTGGGTAAGGAAAAGGTCTTTTGTGATGCTTTAGCCCATGCTGAGTCTTAGCAGTTTGAAATTTTAAGGCAAATGGTCACCATCAAACTGGAAATGGTATGCTAGTAACCCCCTTTTGTTAAATGTGCTTACATGAATCTCTGATTCACGGTTTGGTGTGGGGAGTTGTTTTTTTGTTGTTTTGCAGGGACTGTAGAAAATCCCTGGCAATTGCAAAGCAACATTATTGCCCTAAAATGCAGAATACTATTAATAGCCTTCCTTTTGTGTTCTCAGCTTGGACCCTCTTGGTCCAGCCTCAGTTATATTTTTAAGGAAGGAAGGAAGAATACTGCAAAAAAGCAGGGAAGGAACAAATCTGCTGATGCCCAGCTGGTTTGAATGTCTGTTCTGTAGAAAATTCAGTTTTTACTTGCAGTGGGAGCAACTAAAACATCTTGGGAGGGTATTTCCTTTTGGGGAATCTTCTTTAGCATATGATGAAAGCAGCTTAAAGTTAGGCCATTGAGAATCTTGCCAGTAGGAGTATTATTTTTTAAAGGAACTGCCGACTGGACCTACATTCCTCTCCTGATAATGGTGGATTGTGAGTTGGCATAGCATTTTTGAAAGAAAAGAGAAATCTGGGAAAAGTGCTGCAATATATACTTGGAAAAGGATCCTATACTAACTGTATGCCAACAAAACCCTCCACTTGGAGTTTAAAGCAATTGGAAGCCAGCGGGAACAGAGAAAGAACAAAATTCTATGACCTGTCCCAACTGGAAATGAGCATTTCCAGGCTTGCTTTTGCCAGCATCAAGTCCCAGTTGCATGAATGGTGGATCCCTCTGGCAGAATGGGAGGAGCCAAAGCACAGCAGCAAGATTAGGTGCCCTGGTTCTCTTTCCTGCCCCTGAAATAAGAACTTTTCTAAATAAAAACCCATAGTCAAAGAAGGTTTGGGCCACTGTAAAATTTATATTTCTGAGGCATGAAAGGGTAGAAATTAATGCATCTAGGAGTATGTCCAGTTGCCAACTTGTTAAGGTCCCCTTTTTGGTCTTCCAGCTCACAGTAGAGGACTCCATGGGAGCAGGCCTGTCTCATAGGCCCAAACCTCATTGAGAGCACCCATGCTGTCCAGATCAGTCCCTGGAATCTTCTCCATGGACAACAAGCTGCTGCTGGAGGGAAAGGCCAAACAGCTTCCTCTGTTCTTGGATTGCTCAGTCAGTGCAGGTTCTGGATGGACAGCTCCTATCACACATGACTTTGAACCTGAAGCCCAGGGCAAAAACTGGCCCACCTGGGGTCCCAACCTGACTCTCTTCCCTGTATCACCAGATACGTCCTGCTTTTTTTCCTCAAGTGCATTTGATGCTTTACCACCTTTTTGTAGGTTTTGTTGGTTGTAGGTATCAAGCCAATCCAAAAGTTTGAAATGTCTCTCCTAAGGCCTAATCCTTGGCATTATGAAGAACTTTAAGATACAGCATCCTGGTACATTTGCTAATTTGGTCCTGTCCACCACTGAAATTCAGCCCTTGGGATCAAAGGCGTTCCTTATCCCTGGCCTAGTGTTACTAATCAAAAGATACAATTCAGTGATCCCAGCTTTTTCTCCATAATAGATTCCTGTGGAAAGAAAAAAAAGTAGTGGTGGAAAAACATGAGAAGATTTCATGTTTGGAGAGCTGTGCTTTGTGGTACAGGAGGTTTAGTTTGTGCCCCTGCTTCTTCCATGTAATGTTCAAGGCAGCTCCTGGGTCTTTCTCTCCACCCAGTTGTACCGACTAGGGCAAGATACTCTGAAAAGCAGCTGCAACGGCCTCCAGATCACTGTCTTCTATTTCTGCAGAATGGTGGGGGCAATGTGTCAAGTAGCTTACATGTTATAGGGTAGAAATGGGTGCACACTCAATATTTGACATGCACACTCCTTTCCTGCAATGTGAGACAGGGTCTTGACAGCCATGGCATCAAACACCCTGCTCATGGTTGCCACATTATTTTTCTATGCCTGTAGCATGTCTCTGTATATTTGCTCTTGCTGTGTTGTGTCTGCAAAACTATCGGGACATGCTATGGACTGGTTAGTGTAGCCTGACCTGTGGTAGATGGTCCTGCTAGCTCTCTTTCTGTCCTTTATTCCATGCTACATAGTACCATGGCATCATAATATGTGAGCAGATATGGTGGTGGTGAAGATTGTGTCATGATTATCATTTGAATGCTTGCTAGGATAAGACTGCTGTGTATCCCACTGCCTCATTTCAGTATTCTTTGATCTTTTTTCTGAAGAACCCATGCCCCTTGTGTGATGAAGCCAAAGCAGCGCTTGAGCCATATAAACATAAGGTAATATGATACAATCCCGTATGCATTTGTGCACACACAGCAGTACATGGAATTTAAAGTAGCAGATATGGAATCCCCCGCTGAACGAACTTGTTTGAATGAAAAGCTACAGATACAAATCAAAACAAACCACTACAGTTGCATGCTGATTTCCATAAAACCCATCCTCAGAAATATTTTTCAGATTTTATGATTCAGTTGAAATGCACTGAAGTGCCACATCAGAGTGAAGGGTGATGTCCAGTATGACACTACTGCTAATGTGAATTATGTTCTGCTGGTCCAAACTACTTTTAGAGCAGCTGGATACTACCCAAGACAAATAGGCCACCTAGATAGGAAAAAGAATATTGTCTTTCAGATTTAGAAGGCAGTTCCCACCAAAATAATTGTCTGCAAAATACTATTTTAAGTGATGCTTTTCTTTCTTTATTTGATTCTAAGTGATATTATTGGTTTTATTATTTTTATTATGTATGGAACCTTAAGAGTTTCATAGCCAGATAGGCAGTCAATACATACATCTGTATTGGAGGCAGTCCAAAGTCTCATTATTCTTGCAAAAGTATTCTTGCAAAAAGAGCAGATTTTGACCCACTCTTTCAACACACATGTTGCAGATCTCAAAATCACTCTGTAATGTAATTGAATCTGTGGAACTGTTTCTCAAAAACATATTTATCTATAGCATGCCTTCTCATTTGTGATCCTGAAAATGTACAGAGCTCATTCAAAAATGCTTTCCAGAGAGGAAAAATAGCATACTTGGCCAAAGTTAGTTCAAGTCAGTTATTTGTTTAGAAAGAAACCCCCACTGAATTTATACCCTGCTCCTAAATGTATTTTATGGAGGTAATCCCAGCCATTTCCATGCAATTTACAAAGCATGCACCCTTTGATTTTTGCCTGTTGATTATTGATTTTTTGTTGTTGTGTACAGTTTATTTTGCAGGAAGTAGATATAACCCTTCCAGATCACTCAGCCTGGTTTGAAAAGTATAAGTACGACATACCCGTCTTTCATCTGAATGGGCAATTTCTAATGAAGCATCAAGTGGATATACAAAAACTGGAGAATGAGCTATGTAAACTCGGGTTGCAAGATCATGTCAACAGGTAAAGAAAAAATGAAGCTACTCAACTGCAGACAAGGAATGAACATTCAGATAAATTTTACAAATGAAACTGTACTAACTGCATGGATTTCTTGAAATTCAATGTGCACATTTAATCCAGTGTCACTGATCCATTTTTCCTTCGGATCAATGTGCAGTCTTCTATTTAGTTTCATATCCAGCTGCAAAGGCAGTGTGGCATGCCTAAGAGTCCCAATGAACTTCATGAAATTTCCTTCCAAGTGGGCATGTATAGGTTTGTACTGTAAATGACATGAATAAATAAAATGCCTTTTTTCCACTGGAAGATTTGCTTCCGTGTTGTTCACATGGTGTTACCTGACAATATATATATGGAAAAGTTATGTCTATATACTGTTTTGCTCCTGGGGACTTAGGAATGCTCTTTAGCTTCTCATGCTCCTCAAAGAAGAGAAGGAACACACTCTTTTTTGAAACAGACTGCTCTGGATTAAAGAAATTTGCTCAAGATCCTAAAATAGCATTTTAGCTTTTCTGCGACTAAAGACAGCACATAAAATCTATATTGTTATTTAAGTTTATTGGGAAAATCTAAGTGTTTGTGGCTCACACTAATACAAGATAGCTCAGATCAGAATTCTTTTAGTAAAACCAAGCCAGCATAATGCCAGTTTTCTCTGAAATGAAATGGACATTCTGGATATGATTCCCTGTGCCAGATCCCCTGTCCATTTTTTACATGTTATTTAACAGCATACAGTTTCTTTTAGGTCTTCTAAAAGAAGTTAGTGGTTTTGTCCTTAGGCTCGGGTTATATACCTTTAAGGAAAGTGCAAACAATTTTCAACCAAGGTTAGGAAGTTCACATTCTTCTTTTAAATAGCAACTGGAGGCAGGTTACATGAGTGTCAAACGTTGTTGCAGAAAGAGTGTTTTGGCCTAAAGGTCTTTTGGATTTATTTGACAGGAGGAGAGCCATTTCACCCAAATGAAAAATAAGTTACCATGGATGGAAGTGGCTTTGGAAAGGCTGGCATTTGTAAGGGCTAAGTGACTGTTCCATAGAATGTCACAGGTGACTGAAATACAATATACAGCTGGAACCTGACAGAAAAAGTTCAACTATGGAACACTCCTATTCGAGGTTCCAGCCAGCCATGTCCTCTTCTGTGATTCAGTCCCATTGCCACCACAGCAGTGTTCACTGTCCTTGCTCAGTCCTCACTGAACTGTTTTCATTTCTTCCTCATTAGAGTTTCTTCCTAAAAGTTTTGTTTGTGTTTACTTGTGCAGAGTTGGAGTTCCCTCAAACCTGGTGATATCTCCCTTTTGTGTGTAGATAGGGTATTTTAGCTACATTTGGATAGGCACTGAGAGAATGAATTTGCTTTTAGTAATTCTGGATTCCTATAATTTATGTTTTTTCTAGACAAGTAAAATAAAGATGTTGAACCTGTGTGTTGCTTTTTGTTTAAAGGAGAGTCTTATCTCTTAATTTCACTGAAGAATTATGAATTCAACTTTTTAACTGCAAATGTTGCATGTGAAAAGCATCTAAAAGCTTTAGAAGGTCACAAACTAAGTTTAGCTTGTGGGCTAGTCAATTGCTTTAAGTTGTCTAAGGTAAAGGTAAAGGTTTCCCTTGACATTAAAGTCCAGTCCTGCCTGACTCAAGGGAGCGGTGCTCATCTCCATTTCCTAGCCGAGGGAGCCAGCGTGTGTCTGCAGACAGTCTCCGTGGTCATGTGGCCGGCATGACTGAACACTGAAGTGCACAGAACGCTGTTACCTGCCCACCGAAGTGGTACCTTTGTATCTACTTGCATTTGCATGCTTTCGAACTGCAAGGTTGGCAGGAGCTGGGATGAAGCAACAGGAACTCACTTCATTGTGCAGATTCGAACTGGCGACCTTTCGATCAACCAGCCCAGTAGCACAGTGGTTTAAACCACTGCGCCACCTACAGTCCCTTAAGTTGTCTAAAACTAAACAAATTAAACTAGTTGTAACTGCAGTTGCAGTGAAAACAATAACAATGTTAAACTGTTTCAGTTCCTCATGCAAGACTGCAAGAGAGAATCTTAGGTGAAAATGAACATGCCTGGGATTCTAGAATAGCTGTGTAGTTTTTTCTGAAACATGGCATTATACTAAATGTACAATGAACTATACTATACAGCCCTGAGGGTGCAGTCCTATGGCTGTATGTTATATTGGGATAGGTTAATGTCCTGTTTCCAACCTTGGAAATACAGTTTCTCAATCTCTCTTTCCTTGCAAGCAGGAACAAAAAGCATAAATGCCTGAAATCATGGTCTCTGACTTTTGCAACTCTTTCCTCTGTCCTTCTCCTACCCTTGATTGGATGCCGCTGATCTTCTGCATTGAAAGGTTACAGACACCCACATTGGATGGTGCCCTAAATGTACCAGTCCAGATTGTAAGAAGTCATGGTTCTGCTCTATTCTGCTTGGGGCAGACCTCAGCTGAAGTTCTGTGTTTAGTTCTGGTCATTATATAAGAAGGATACTAACAAACTGGAAGTGGTCCAGAAGAGGGCAACAAAGATGATGGAGAAAACCAAATACTGTAAAGAGAAGTTGAAGGACTTGGATGTGTTGAGCTAGCTAAGTAATAGTATGATCCAATGTGCACATAACTACCATGGCATGTCTGCATGGGAGCAACTGAGTCCAGTTCGCACAGCAAGCCATGAATTCCCCATTCTTGGGGTGTTCACTGTGACATCTAAAGCCAAACTGCAGGCTTATTAAGGGAGAAACTGTACAGAATTTTAACATGGAGCTTGTCGCTGGCTTGAAACTCTGACTTGTTTCCCCTTAAACAACTCAGAGTGGCAAGTTCTAACCCAACAATGAACCATGGGTTAAAACTCCGGATTGTTTCTTCCTCCACAACCTAGAGTGCCGGGTCTGGACATCATAGTGACAACAAGCCATGAGTTAAAACTTCTTGCTGGTATGAGTTGTTTAACAGTGGAACAAACTGCCTAAGGACCATCCTTAGTTGTTTTGTGCCATCAAGTCTTTTCCACTGAGTGGTGATCCTACAAGTGAGTGCTCTCCCAAATGTCCTGTCCTTAACAGTCCTGCTAAGCTCTTGTAAATTCTTTATGGAGTCAGTCTATCTCATACTTCATCTTCATCTTCTTTTTCTGCCTTTGACTTTCCCTAGCATTGCTGGGAGTGCTGTAGCAGTGGATTTCCTGCATCAGCAGATGGGTAGACTACACTGCCTTGCAGTAGTATTCACCCTGCTTTGACTTTTTCACATTTTGTTGTGTTATAACATGGAAATGAATAGATTTAATCGCCATTAATAGTCTTATGTTGGCACAAAAGTTAACCATTAGTGAACAGTAACTTTGGAATCTTGACACAGATTATCAATTATATTTAGGTCTAGGCTTTAACTGGACCATACTAAGACATTCAGGTCTTTGTTATTAAAGCACTCGTTCAGCTGTATGTTTAGGATCATTATCCTTCTGGACAGTGAACTTTTGATCCAATCCCACGCCTCTTGCAGATCCACTAGAATTGTCCTTCACTTGGCTCCATCCACATTAACCTCAGTCCTGAGCTCCTACAGAAGAAAAATATCGCAATATGCAGCTGCTGCTACCACCATGCTTGGCTGTTGTCAAGGCAATGAGCACTGTTGGCTTTGTATGGCACAGTGTTTTGCAGCAAGGCCAAAAGGTCTCATCAGACCAGATAACTTATTTCAACATGTTTGCCGTGTCTCTCACATGCCTTCTTGCAAACTCCAAAGAGGCTTTGAAATGGAATTGTTTCAGCAATAGCTTTCTTTTCAGCATTCTTCCATGGATCCCAACATTGTAGGGCATCTGGGTGACAGCTGTTCTAGGGACAGGTTCTCCCATCTTAGCTTTCTGTAGTTCTTCAGATTAACCACTGGCCTCTTGCTTGCTTCTCTGACTAATACAACACTGAATTTTGGTGGATAGCATTCTTTACTCAGTCTTGCAACTCAGCTATATTCTTGCAATGCTGTAATAATGGATTGAACAGGAGACTTCATAATTTGGGGATTTTTTTGAAAATACCTAACTCAATTTTATTCCAGAGTTCTTTTGATGGCCCCTTAGTCTTCATGATGTTGTTTAAATATGCTATCCATCAAACACTGGGGCCTTCCAGAAACAGGTGTAATTAATATGAGATCCTGTGGCACTGGGATTGCACACATCCAACAACAACAAATGAATGTGTGGAATTGTACAAATTCAACAGCAACAATGGGACGTGCACTCCATTTAACAACTTACACTACAGATGTGACTACTGAGGGCAGTGCATTGCATCAAAACTTATTTAAGTATGTCACAGCAAAGGCAGTGAATAATTATGTAACCAATAATTGCCAGTTTGGTTTTTGTCTGCTTAATTTTTATGCCACAGTCACATTTTTATACCTTCACAGTGTTGAGCATCTTCTGTACACCAAGTGGCAACAATGTCAATTAATTCTATTTCAGTTCCAGGCGGCAGCACAAAACGTGGAAAAGTCAAAAGCGGGTGAATCCTTCTGTGAGGCACTATAGATCTGTGTGACCTCCAGATGTTGTTTTACTGCAGTTCTCGTCATGTTTAAACATTGCCTTCGTTGGCTCGGACTCATGGAAGCTGTGCCAGCTCTGGGATTCTTGTTTCTACATAGTTGGTCCTGCAGTAGGAGACTTTGTTAATAAGTAAAGTTTGTGCCTCATTAAATAGCATTATAAGCAGTTCTCAGGTAGGGACCCTATATCAGCCCTTTTTAGCAACTCCAGATGTAATTTGATTTTACTCCCATTAAAATGTGGATACAATCAGTTAAGAAGTTATGATCAGAGTAAGTGCACTTAGATTGAATAAAGGATTGAGAAAAGCCATGCACAATGATGTTCAAGCTGAACCCCATTTAACTAAATCTGATAGAAGTCTCTGTTTCATTGCTTTTCTAACGGAAACTGCTTGACTCAGTTTTCTCAGCAAACCCAAGAGTATTTTAAAAAGGGTAATTATTCATCAAAGCTGAAAATTAAATATTTCAGCAGTCAGTTTAGTTGTTAGCAGTCTGTAAAGATCTTTGGCATAGACAGTACATTGGTAAATGGAGATTAATATTCCCTTTATGTATCCTCTCTCTCATTCACTTTAAATCTGTCCCTCCCTCATTCATCTCAGTTCTTTGATACTTCTAGTAGCTTTGATTGCAATTTGTGTTCTTTTTACTTAGAACTTTCAACAACTAAAAATGATCACAGTGATGAACACACTGATTTTCATCACTGGCCTAAGTGCTGAGTGAGATTTTATCCCCACCGTGAAAGCAAGGACAGTAAGGCTGCAGTCCAAAGCTCAACACAGAAGTCCTTCCCCTCTGCAGCATGTACCTAGTGTCTTCATACTATGTCTAGTGTCTTGAATAACAAAAGAAGAAGGATATATGATAGTGTTGTGACGGTAGCTGAAACTTTGATGGTACTTTTTATTTTGCTTTATATAGCTCTTCACTATGTGCATACCCCACCTAGGAGTGTGAAGAGAAGGCTACAAATTCAAACAATCAATATATAAAGTGGAAGGCAGTGACATTATAAGTATGTAAACTAGTTAGAGTTTTTTTAATATTAAGTGGTATATAAATATTACTAATACATATATAGATAGTGGGTTGGACTTGCGTGTGATAGCCCTGATCCATATGTGGCATGTGAGCATAATGTTCTTGCACAACAATCAGCACTGCCAGCTTTGATGAGCACATAGCACACCTACAGGACTTCAGGGACAAAGTCCAGGGACTCCACAGCCCAGGGGCCCTCAAGTGACCAGTCTAAGAGCAGCAGTTGATGGGGGCAGTGATAGACAGGCCTAACGCTGCATCAACACCTAGGCCGGCATGGGCATGTCAGGACCCACCAGGACCGATGATGTTTGCTACCGCATCCTTTCTCTTGTGACAAAGGGGCTGACAAACTCAGCAAATACATTATTTACTTATCTATTAAACTTGTATTCCACTATACTAGTCCCATAGTTCGCTCCAAGCAGATTACAGCAAAACAGTTTGTATCAAGAGAAACAGAATAAAAACACAATATAACGATCAAGGGTGCTTTGAACGGGTGCTTAGTTTACAAATGCTCATTTTATTATTTTTGCTTTAAATATTTATCATCCTTTTCTATAATGCACTCATGCTTATTCCCAGTTAAATGTATCTACCACCAGAATAGCATAAGCAACCTTCATCTTATTCCAGTAGCCACAATAGTGGCATGATATAAGTGCATTGTCACTTTTTTAAAGAGTTGACAGATCAGTAGTTGTTTGTTTCATTTACTCTATTTATTTATTAGGTTTATATGCCACCTTTTTTTTTTTTAAAGAACTCAAGGAAACTTGCATAATTCCCAGTCTTATCCCAAAAACAACAACCCTGTGAGATAGGTTGGCCTGTGACTTTGTGACTGGCCTAAAGTCACTTCAGCTCCATGGCTGAGCAGGATTGCCTGTGTCTTAACCACGACACCACATTGGCTCTCAGACATGTAGAACCAGGAATATAGAACCAAGCATAAAGCATGGAATGGCAGGGATCAGAGAGAGCAAAATAGGAGTTCCATGCATTGCAGCTGAAGGACTGCACATAGCTTCACCCACCCAACCCAACCCCACCACCCAAAAATAGCTAGTTCCACCACTGATCAGCTATAAGAGAAGAGGAACTTTGGGGTGATTGGAACTAGTCCTTCCATGCCCCAGACATGAGTTTGGTGCTATCATCTGTCCACGAGTGTACATATGCGTGTGGCCATGCCTTCACTAATGCCATTTCATCAGTATGGCAGGCTACTGCTATCAGATACCACTGGGCATGCACAGGACTTGGTTTAGAGGACAAAACCCAAACATCACACAGCAATTCCTCTTATTGGATAGGGAGGCATGTTAGCAGAGGGCTGTCTCTGTTAAAAATGGATCTGCCGCTTCTTGGAAGACTTTTCCTGCTGATGGAGGGCTATGGTGCCCACCTCATGTTGCCAGTGCAACAATGAGACAAAAGGGGCTTTGTTCTTTCAAGCCATCAGAAATGACAAAAAGAGGGGTGTGGAACCTGCATAGTTTCTCGAGCCCCCCTTTCCTTGTATGTTCACCATTGCCAACATAATATCTGGTACTGATTACTGCATCTTATAGCTCAGTAGGTTCAGCTTCCTAGCAGGTTGACAAATTGTGTGGGGCCATTTCAAAATGCATTGCTTTGATGCTTCCAGATTTCTGCACTTTCAGATGAAATGGTGGACAATATTTACTCTTCCTGAAGAGCAATGCTGCTGCCTCTCCAGGATGGTTAAAACATGAAAAGGTTTCTTTAGGGGAATGGGCAACACAATGGCAAATGAGCTCAGGGTAAGCAAGTAAGTGCGCATGTGAGGGCAAGAAACGATTCCACAGTGATGCTGCTGCGGTATGGGGTGGTGAAGACTGGTGAGAAAGGAGATCTTTTAGCCTAATAGCCTGGTTTATGCTGCTGTGAGTAAAAACAGGAAAAACTGCATGTCAGGGATCATCCAGCAAGGAAAGAAAAATAAGGTTGTCACTATCATAATGCCCTTGTACAAACTGACAGTTGAACCATCCTTAAGAAGCATTCTTAGGATGTGTCATACTATCTAGCCCAGTATATTTGATTTCTGATTGGTTGTTTGTTCTGTCCTGTCTGGAGATGCTGGCAAATCAGGTAGGGACCCTTCCACATGCAAAGTATGTGCTGTGTCACAGAGCTAAAGCCCATCTTCTCATGGAATATCGGGCATAGTTCTGGTCTCCACTCCTCATCAAGGATATTGCAGTGCTAGAAAAGGTGCAGAAAGAGCAAGAGTCTGGAACAACTGTCCTATGAAGAAATTGCAGTGTGTGGACTTTTTAGCTTTAAAAAAAGTGACTGCAGAGAAATATATTAGAAGCGTGTGAAATTATGCATAGTTTGAAGAAAGTGGATACCACAACCTCCAATGAAGATAAGTGGTTGAAGATTTGGGAGACAGAAAGCAAAGTACTTCTTCATGCTTTGCAGAGTTGAGCTATGGAATTCATAACCATGAGTTACAGTGCCAGCCACCAACTTGGGCATGAACAACATCAGCAGGATATCAGAGAAATTCATGAAGTTTAACTCTACCCATGGCCACCAGTCATCATGGCTTAATATCACCAGGATGGGAGGCAGTGTGCTCCTCGATGCCAGGTGGAAGGAAACGGCAGCAGGAGATGGCTAGGGAGCTTCTGCTGATATCTGCTTGGCTGCTGCAGAATCAAGAGAGTGGACCAGGCTTTGGGTTTGATCCTGCAGGAATTCCTCTGATACGCTTAATGTTCCACGATTTCAAATCCGAAGAGTGATGCTTTCTCCTCCAACTCGTCCAGAGCTACGGTAGAATACGGGAAATCTGCACTGACGAACGTCGTGGTTGTCCGAGTCAATCTACTTTCATCACATCCTTGCTTGCAGCTAGTGGAAGTCACCCGCACAGCCAGCAGACAGTTACTCTGAAAAAGTACTGAATTTAGCAAGAACTCTTCTCGGGAATAGATCAGTCCCTCGCCGTTTCCAAGAATTGCGCTTCAAAAGCTCCTCTGCATAGTAGCTGTGCCATCAGATCGATTGTCGAACAGAACCTTGCTCTTTTTCTCTGTTCTGCTTTCGGCCGAAAGGCTTCTCTCTTTGTATCTCCTGCTGCTGAAGTACCTCATGGCTTCCTACTTTTATTTATTTAAGTGTCCCCTCCTGCATCTTATTGCAAAGAAACCGATTAGCCCACACTCAGCAAATTCGGTTCTAGAAGAACTCGTCGCCGGCTTGAAGATGTCCCCCCGTGCCTCCGTCTTTCGCCGTTTGGGGGCTGGGAGTGCGGGAGATGCAGCTGCGGCTGCCTTGGGAGCTCGCTGGCTCTTCCCAGCTCCTCCCCTTTCTACCTGGACGTTTGGCCCAACAGGATGTCCCACGTGCCCTTCCGCGCTCTGTCCACCAGGGGTCGCCCGTCCTCCCGGCGTCCCAGCCGCCCTTTGTCCTGCAGCTTCCCTCCAGCCTTCCTCCCTTTGGGCGCCCGCCCATCCCGTTCGGGGCTCAGTCTGGCGAGCAGGCGAGCGGCGGCTGCCCGTCAGGAGAGCTGACCCCACCCCCTCGCCGGCGCTCTTCTCCGCGGGGCATCGCCGGCTCTCGAGCCCGGGCCGGCGCCCCGCAATAGGCCAGTGACTTCTCCGAGGGGGTGCGAGGCGGAGGACCCGCGGTTCGCCCTCCCGTCCGCGCAGCGGGCTGTGCGCACATCATGCTGATGGGCAGCGCACCGGGCGCCTCCAGAGCCGGGAAAGCTGCGCCTTGAGCCGGGCTGCTCCGGAGGAACAGCGAGCGCACGGGAGGCACGCGAGGAGGGTGAGTGCCTGCCTCAAGCCCGGCTGCCCGAGGGGGCACCGGCCATTCGGGGCGGAGGGGAAGGGTCCGTGCCGGCTGGCGGGAGGCGAGCTGCTGACCGGGGGAGCCGGCGCCGCGCGTATGCTCCTAGCCAGTCTCCCAACTTCTTTCCCATCTGTAACGTCGCCAGCGGGCGAGTTAAAAAGGGTTGCCATGCGAGCACTGATCTCTTGTTTCTTAAATAAAAACAGGAGATGTCTAATTGCAGGTTCTGTTTCCTATGGTACACGTCTGCCCGTCAAATAATTTGCTTAACTTTAAGTATTTCTGTCAGGGTCATACATGAGCCGTCCAGAAGCAAATGGGCTCCGAAAACAAGTGTTAGAGTCAGTATCGGTGGCAAGTCTGCGGGCTGTAAAGGATGGAAACTTTTTCTTTTTCTTTGGCAAGGGTGTTCCCTGTTTATAAACATTTTCATAGCAGTGCTTGGTTTTTGTTTCTGTGACTTGAAGGTTATCATGCCAGGGAGGTTCTTGCAGTGGCGTTTCAGACTCTAATGTCACAATTACTCTCTGCAAAGGTGAAATAAAGCAATTAATTAAATGCACGGAAGTCTTATGAAACTGGCCAGATGTGTAATTCTCTCTATGCTCTAAATAAGCATTGCAAACCTTCTATAATGTAGGGTGTAGTTATTGTATGTTCAAGGGTGTGTATACAAACACCCCCCTCAGTATAACAACATGACAACAATTTGGTTGTAAACACACAGAGGAAAACTCGATAGCTCAGACCAAACCACTGTCGCATCTGAGTCCTCTTTTCCTCCTGTCCTGGAATAATGAGAGCTAAGAATAGGTTTTTTTAATGTAAAAAAAAGAGATGCAGGAAGTCCTCCATTTATTTCTACAGCATGCTCCCCCCCTTCTCCCTCCCTCCCTCCCTGTCTGTCTCTCTCTTTCTCAATCTCTCTCCCATAGTGGCTGGATTTTGTAATACCTGTGTGGAATTTATATATTTATTTATTTTACTGCAAGTTACTATCCACGATAGCTATCAATTACATATTCTGGCATCTTGTTCGCTGGCTTGTTGTAACATCTGCCATTCCATTTGGAGAGGTAAATAATGTGGATGTGGTATTTTTGTTTCCTTTCTTTTGTTTATGCCAGATGTGGGGCTGTAACGTGTGTGAAAAGAATCTACTTCTGATTGTCGAGTGTGGGACTTCCCCGGATAGTTGGGGGCTGGGAAAGGCTGACTGGTAATGTGTACTCTGTGTGTGTTCTCCGCTCTGTGTGATTGCGTGCAAGTCTGAGTCTGCCTGTGTCCATGAACTTTACGAGCATCCAGTTCAGTACCATTCAGTGCAGATTCCACACTGCTTGCTGGTTTACAGCCCACAGCCTGCCATCCAGCCCATCTGTTAAAACACATTCCAGCCAAAGCTGAGGAACTCAGGACAGGAGAACAAATACTGCCCTGCTCCCTTCAAACCTAAATGCAAATAGTTGCAAATGACTAAAGCACATAATTGATTTTCAGCAGAATTTGTTCTCAGTAACTGTGCACTGAATGCAGCCCTGGAAGCACTAGTTTTAAGAATCTGAATATATGGGCTCTGAGCTAACATCCTGGCAAATCAAGTTTTTTGAGTTCCTGCCAAATTGATTTTAATGATGGGCTTCTGTGAGTGGTTTGTTTGTTTGGGCTATTTTGAAGCTGAGAGGCAATTAAGAGTTATCTAATTAATGGAAATCTTGCACTTCGTGTCCCATACCAAATCAGAGTTAAATGAAATGCTGCTTGGAGTCTTTCAAACATCCAGAGCAGTACAGTAAATCTTGATCTGGGGCAGGGAGGATTCTTCTTGCATGTGGTGTTCATCCACACTGAAAGACACGGTTTGCTGATCTGGACACATTCATTGTGAAGTGTGATAGATTTCAGCAGGGCTTATTCCCTCAGTGTGCTGAGACTGGTGACCTGAGAAGAACAAATAAACACTGATCACAAGAGAATTCAACTTCAAGAACAAAATGCTTCTCCTGCAGAACTGAAAGGTCACTCCAAGTCTTTCTAGATGGATCAGTTGTCCTATGGCAGGCAGCAGGCTGAGGGTGGAAGGAATATTGGGCAATATCTTACTACGCCATTGCACAATGCAACCTGGGTTGTCCTAGCGTAGACCTCTAGTGCAGTGCTAACAGCATTAGCTTGTGCAGTGGGTTTTTCGGGGGAACCCCATGACTCAAGCGAACTCCATTGACAGCACACTGAGGGCTCTGGCACATCCTCATACTTTACTTGGAGCAGCCACTATAGGGATTCTCCTGCCTCTGCGTGAGGGAAGACGTGAAGTATGAGTATGAGCTTGCTTTTTAGGAAAAGGTAATCATATGCAAAACAGAAGTGCCGGACTTCACAAACCTGAAGAAGAGGCTGGATAAGAAAAAAACAAAAGCCATTATGTAGGCAGGCTGAAGTAGGAGGTAGACTTGCATGGTGCTGATTACATCAGCACACAATTGAGACTTGTTACTCTATAGCAAAACAGATGCCCTGATAGTAAAACAGGTTCAGTAGCCTCATTTGCTGCAGGAAGACTCATTATTTTCCAGGAACATCATCTATATGTTCTGGGAAATGGCAACTCCCCGCAACTGGTGTTTGGAGTACATGCTGAGACAACATCATTTGATTAATTCACCCTTGGCTGCAAAGCCTGCTGGGGTAAAGCAGAGCATCTGGAAAAGCTCTCAATATTCCAAGTGTGTAGCTCGGCCATTCATTTAAAAAGAAGAGCATATCTGAATCCAAACACTGGCTTGCTCATGGTCATTTCAAAAGCAATTACTCCAAGCAGCAAGCCGGAGTACTTTCTATAGCTTTAGAATCACGAGAAGTGCACAGAAAAGAGTTTGTGACATCCCTGGGCCAGCAGAAGCCCCAAGATGCTACTCAGTCCACTGGGCTTCAGCTGTTGCTGAAGTATTTTATTTCAGTAATTTATTATTTTACGTACAATAAGACTGTGTCTAACTCAGTGGGCATTAGTATGGGCAAATCCACTTGCATAAAGCTGATAGGAAGAATAGTCCCCATACCCAATGACGGAGGCTTTTCTTTTTTTGTCTCCTTGAGTGCATATGTTTAGTCCTGGTGGTGTTGACTCTTATCCTTTATGTTCTGTTTGCCTTATTCCTTCATATCCTGTTACTTTCTGAATTAATATTCTGAAACAGAATTTAGAAGAGCTGTTGCAAAACGTTATGGTACTGATTTTTAAACTTGAAAGTGATGGACTTGAAGCACCAAGATTGAGGTTAGTTTAGATTAATTTCAGCATAACTCCTTCAAAAACCTCTTAAGGAACAAACTATTAAGAATGACAGAATCCTCAAGATGGTAATTCTTCAAATAACTAAAACTGGTGCCTCCCTCACAGCATTGCTCCATTTTCTGCTGAGTGCCTAAATGCATATTAGAAGGTGCTGAATTACACTTACACGTTTCTAAAGAACAAACCAGATAGATAATAATTTGCTGGCAAGACCATCCTGCTGTGTCTGGAGAAGAGGCAGACATTGGGGTCAGGAATATGGTTTTATCCTTGGAAGGCTTGGGTTAAAATCCCTCTTCCATTATAGGTCTTCACTCCTGGTTGGACAAATGTATATAGTTGAGTATCTTAGGATCAGTTTCTAATTTGCAAAGTGTGGGTTCTGGCCCATCTCAGTGGCCTGCTGCTTAACTCACAGCTTTGTTGTAAGGTGGACTCAGCAATGGCAGTGGCTTCCTGACAATGGTTTTTGCCACCATGGCTGTTTAATTGGATGGTTTTAAGAGGGGGATTAAACAAATTCATGACAGGGAATGCTGTCGATGGCTACTACTAATCCTGGTGACTATATGCTACTTCTGGTACCCAGTTGTTGGGGAGCATGGATGAAAGGGTTGCACTCATGTCCTGCTTGTGCAGTTCTGTGGGCAGCTGATTGGCCACTGTGCACACAGAAAGCTGAACTAAATGGATCTTGGTCTAAACAAGCAGGACTTTGCTTGAGTTCTTATGGATACGAGGAGCTAATAAATATTGGGTCGTATCCAGTGTTATTCCTTCTTAGAATAGATCTACTGAAATGAGTGGGGCTTAGTTAATCAAACAGTTCAGACAACTGAGTATATTTAAAAATACCAAACAAATCCTATCTAATGTAACGTATTACGTTACCGATCCATATTTTGCAAATGACTGAAGCCATTTGAAGCTCACTGCGATTTGTTTCTGTGCAGCAGCTTCCACTTAGGGTGGCTTTACCCACCAGCCATGCCTCATATCTGGTGAGTGTGCTTGGACCTGAAGCCCTTGGCTTAGTACTTCTTGCAGTGACAAATGCCAGATTTTTGTTAAGGGTCTGGTGCAGTTTGTGCCTATTTGACCTTCATGATAAATAAGAATATAAGTCAAAGCACTTCAAATGCATTCTCTTGGTTGTGCAACCCTTACAGTGATCAGCTCCAATACAAGACAAGGTGCTTGCACCTTTACAAAGAGGGGATTTGGGCAGGTGTAGCATGTATGGCAAGCATTAGAGGTAATACAGGAACCATATTTTCTCCTGTATCTGACACTTTAGCTTACAACAACACAGTATTCTCTTTGCCATGCTGTAGATGGTACAGGTGGGGAGTTTGCTTAAGACCATCTAGTGCAGGGGTCAGCAACCCGCAGCTCCGGAGCTGCATGTGGCTTTTTCATCCCTCTGCTGCGGCTCCCTGTCACTCAAAATATGCGTCACAACCACCAATGTGTCACAACCGCCTGCACGCGATTTATTGAGCTTTTCGACCCCCGGTAGGCCAACCATGGATAAATACAAGAAAAGAAAAGTTTCAGAAGAAAACAGAACGTTTAATGGTATGTGGGCAGATTCATTTGCTTTCGCTGCTGATGAGACTGGTTTACCAGTATGCTTAATATGTGGTGAGAAATTGGCAAACAACAAAAAGTCGAATGT